CTACCCTGAAACAGCCGAGCATAGCCGGGTATGCAATCTAGTGATAATATAATTGCAGATATGTCCTCATCGCTTGGATGTGACACAATCTGTTCTCCCCGAGATTCACGCCTACTTGCACTTCGTGGCGTTCGGATGTCTCCTGGTGCTATATCAGGAATAAGTCCGACGCTTGCTTTTGATCATCGCTCTAGCAGTCTTCCGCGGCATTTTACTCGTGGAGGATTTAGTGCTTCTAGTCATGCGTAGGCTTTGTGCTCCAAATTTTAGACTAAGCGAAGTTGAAAAAATTTTTTTAAGGTCACCACATCAAGTCTTCTCCGTTCGGGGACCCATTTCGTCAGGACCAGCGCTTGGATTTGCTCCACCACCAGGGCAATTTATTGGTCCTCTTGCGGACGATGAAACCCCAGTTCAGGTATATTATATAACCTTCCTTCCCAAGAAAGGAAACAGTCCTGCTCTATCTCATAGGAAATGCTGTCTCGCCTTGGTCATACCCGTATTATCGTATAGTTTTCGAACCGACTTTTCAGCCTGCTCTTGTACCAGACGAAATTACTGGCGATCCAAATCTAGAGGACAGTGTCCGATGTACTCGAAGTGTTAGTGCTGCTTCACTTTGCAGCGAATTGCCGGTAACTTCGCACTCTTTCCTTCGCAAAGTAGCCGCCAACATCTTTTACTGATGATGTTCTCCTTTAGAATACGTCGATCGGATGGCAAAGTAACTTAGACACTGCTGCGAATAGCAACCGAATGTCTCCAGTTTCTCCGTCTGATCTCCCTGACTCGCCTACGCAGTGCGCAAAGATAATGGATTTAAAAGGTTAGTAACGTTATGTGAACTTGACAGTGTGCTATCTACTGCTCTTATCTACATCACTTAAGGCGACACTTCTACTCCACTGAGCGTCAAAATTCGTGGTGGTTCGGGCGTTACATCTAGTGAACCAAAGTCAGGCTTGACAGCGAGCGACACAACCACTGCTATAGTAGACGACCAGCCAACGCCCACCTTTCCTGCATTTGTACTTCCCACAGCAATGCCATCTGGTATATCTGCTACCGTGGAAAAGCCGAATCCTGGTAAGATCTCTAAAATGGTCCTTCCTACACAAATATGTTTATTTTGAGGTAGCTATCTTTGAGAAATATTCCACCTAACCTGAATGAAAATCCAAGTATCATATGTCTTGTTCATGTATCAACAATACAATGTACATCACTCAGAAACTTTTTATAACAATCAGAGTAGTTATTATATTTGCTCGAATTTCTTATTGTTCTTCACATGGCTATTAGTAAGATCTTTCAGCGAAGATGCTAAATCAAGCTGTATGTTTCGTTTGATCTGCTATTGGGTTTTCTATGTTTAGATAATCGGTATCAAGATTCTGCTGATGATTTGTATGCAACTGTCAGTTCCAACTGTGCTGATGGCGCTGACACAGATCTGCTAGCAAGATCAATTGAAGCTGAATTACCTCAACCATCTCCTCGAGTTGGTACTCCTAAGCAGCAGAGGTAAATTCATCTTTGATGTTAAAACCTTTAAGGTGTTTTTTTTT